TAGGACTGCCTGTATTTGATTTTTTTTTAAACCTAGAGTATTATTATAGTATGTCTGTTGTATACCCCTAGTTATTGTGAAATGCCTTGTTCACATATTTTTGAATGCTGCATACTTTAATTTAGGTCTGTCTATCACCTTGCTATTGAGGACAGATGTCATAGATGAGTGAGGCTAGGTTCACATGGGCGGCAGACTTTACTACCCTCTGAAAAGCAATTCACACTAGATCACTTTTCCTAGGGCAGTTGACAGCTGGTTTACAGGCCTGCAGGAGGCGATGCTGCAGCCTCTTGAATGCATGCTTTTTTTTTTGCATTGCAATACCAACTGTATATCAAGTGATCTCATGGACTGCAATGGTCGTGTTTAGCAAATGGAACCATTTGCCAAACGCAATAGGCTGTATAAAATTTGCATGTGTGCAATCTTGAGCAGTCACCATTTTAGGTTTTAGATGGGTGGTTGGGAACAGTAGAAAAATGGATCAGCTGCCTGTTTTTACTGCTCTTTTGTCACCTGTGTGAATGAGGCCAAAATATTGTTTTGGCTTTGCAAGACTCAGGAGATTTCCAGAAGTATTTGATCTTTCAAAAAGGGGAACATATGGCAGACTCTGGATCTTCCCCTAAGACCTTTTCTAAGCCTGGATTTTTTTTGCAAGTGTTTGGATGACTAAATAAACGATGTGACCCATGCAAAGAACATGAGTGTTTCCCATGACTAAGTTGATCAGCTGGAAAGAACATGCAAAATACAGTGGTTTAGTTTTAGTACCCCTATGTCAATATACCAAAAGGAAATTTAAAGTACTGGCCTTGCACTAGAAATAGGCATGCTAACAATAATGCCAGGTTGCAAGAACAGAACTATTGGGGAACCTTACCTTTTAATGCAGGAAACACAATTTAGTACAAATATTTTCAAAGCTGCAGCTGCAGAAGTGATTTCCTCCTGAAGAGCATTGATGACCTTTTTTAGAAACTACAATACATAAAATAGTTCTTAGCGATGTTGAAACCAAATTGAGATTGTGGCTTTTGCTGTCCTCTGGTGGTCACGCTCTAAAATGGCACTATTGTGAAAATAAACACAAGCTTGAAACAGATTGTAATCAAGAGTAATATCTTATGTGCTATGATATTTAGATTAGTGTGTTTTTTATTACAAAGGTTTGTTGAAATCAACAGATATATTTCCTGTGAAAATTCATATAGGTTTACAAGCCATAAACAAGTGATACTGCGATTCTCACTAGGTATAAGTTTGGGACTATTGACCCAAAAGTTTAAATCAGGTAAATACATTTCAGATGCATTAAAACAAAAGGTGTTCACAGTCATACAGTTAATGTTCTTCAAAAATCTGACACAGTCTGTGTAGAAAAGCCTGTCTCCAGCCAGCATGCTGCAGAGTGGGACCCTTGCTCTCTGTGAGGAGGAAGTGATCTGTTTGCTTAGGTGCAACACGCACCCCTGTTAAAGCCAGAGGCCTCCAATCAGTGGAGAGAATAATCTTTCCTTATTGCAAAGCTCTGATAAAGGGGGATTGCCCCAGAAACACACAAGCGCTAAACTGCATCACTGCCGAGTCCAGTGACGGTGGTTTACTCTGTCTGGTTATACTGTCCAATTGAGTTCTGAGGGAAAGATCTTGGAGGGCTGGATTGGTGTTGTTTATGCCCATGTCCTCAACATGTTTGTGAGTACCATTATTCATTTTAAATTTTCTCGAATAAATTATATTACACAAGGAGGAGGCACCTTTTTCTGTTTTCTGTGGTATAGCTTTCTAATTAAGTACAGTTCATTGCTAAGATTTGATCTCTCGTATGCTTTCTGTAGCAACCCACACTTTTCTTGCAGTTACACGCTTGCATATCTGCATTATTTGATCATTAATTATGCCTCATAGTACTTTGAGTTTTGTTTTTTTTTTCTCTGTTCACTGCATGCAACCTCTCATAAGCAGAATTTTCATTTTAAACTTCCAGGAATAGTAGCCATCATTTCCACTTTCTAAACTTTTTTCTTTTTCAGAGACGTTTTTGCCAGCACTCTGTCTATATCTGTATCTACAGCTGCTGCAGATATAATCCTTGCCAGTTAAGATGTCCAATTCTGAGGTTAAAAAAAAAAAAAATGTTAAAAAGTTACAATTCTGACTTTAATCTTGGAATTCTATGGAAGAGCCCTGAAATAGTATCCTAAAAGAAAATGTGTGAACCAAATTGATCACTTTCAGAAGTCAGAATTCTGTGTTTAAAAGTCTGAACTTTGAGATTAAAAAGTAAATTCTGCGTTTCAGAATTTTATCTTTTAAACTCCCAATTCTGACTTTTAATTGCAGAATTCTGTCTTTAAGATCCAGAATTATGTCTAAGACCTACAGGGTTATTCACAAAAGGGTGAAGAGTTTGGAGAAGGCAGGAGAAGTGAACAATTTAGGACAAAATAGCTGATTTGGAAACATTCTCCAATTCAGCTCACTTTCCTGTTCAGCTATTTTGTTCTAGATTGTTCCCTTCTCCTGCCTTCTCCAAACTCTTCACCCTTTTGTAAATAACCCTGCTAGAATTTTGTCCTTACCTTAAGACCCAGAATTCTGACTTTTCGTGTCTTTCCAACAACGGGAGGTGAGCTACAGCTCGCGGTATACTGAGACGCCGGAGCGGATCCCGACGTAGATGACGGGATCCGCCCAGCTGCGTGAGTGACAGCTGGCTCTGCCTATCTAGAGGCAGAGCCAGCTGTACCCGCCCCTCCCCCGTCCGTTCCGCCAGTCAGCGCTGGCAGATCGGAGCGGGGAGAGGGGAATCCAGCCCCTCCCCCTGTCACGGCAGAGAGCCGTGACAGGATCGAGAGGCGAGCGAACCCGGTATGTGTTTGCTCACCTCCCGATCTACTGAGCCGACCTGTGACAGTCTCATTGTCACAGGTCGGCTAGAACTATGAGGTGAGTGAAAAGCACTCATAGTTTTCCTTTAAGGCTAGGTTCACACCTGGAAACCGAAACTGTGCAGATGGCCATGCGTTCACGGAATTGCCCACCACCGCATTGCCGCCGGTGCAACCGCACATGATCGCGGTAAAAAAAATTTGGCCGGTGTGTGCTACCAAAAAACTTACACGTTCCTTTTTTCAGCGATTGCCGCACAGATGTAATCCCATTGAAATCAAGTGGGCCACGCAGCAACTGCTGTGTGCACCTGCACATGATTGCACAGTCCTGGGACGCGTATCCCGGGATCACCGATGTGTGAACCTAGCCTAAAGCAATTTCAGCAAACACCAGGGCTGTGTAAATAGTCCCTTATGTTATGTCACTAATGAATACCAACAGTATAATACCCCGGCCTATACATTATATCCCACAGTATAATACCCCGGCCTATACATTATATCCCACAGTATAATACCGTAGCCTATACATTATATCTCACAGTATAGTACCACGGCCTATACAGTATATCACACAGTATAATACCGTGGCCTTTACATTATATCACACAGTATAATACCACAGTCTATACAGTATTACACACAGTATAAAACCGCAGCCTAAACATAGCGGCCAACTTTATGACACGGGAATGACGTGGAGAGAACCCCAATCTTGGGGACACTCAGGACTGGCCTTTGGGGACACACTGCCTGGCGACCATGTTGCCATGGCACCCTGTGCGGCCACACATCCCAAAGGCCGGAACCCCACAGACAAGTCACAGACAAAAAAAACAATAGAAATGTTAGCCTATGTAGCCCTGTTTTGGGGGGGGGGGGGGGGGGGAGGTCATGTGAGATGACTGTCTCCAATCAGCTACCGCTGCCCACCTGTAGGTAACTTGAAAATCCTGAGCCTCCGCTAAGTGGGAATATGGGACTGGATATATCTTTAAGCAACAGTGCCCCCACCCAGCTGAGCCTTGTGAATATATTTCAAGTCGTTTTATTTTGCACATGCATGGAGAATAAAAAGGTAGGTGGATGAGGGAGCACAGGTTACCCTTTTTGGTATAACAAAGCAAAATCCTCTGGTCTTCTATATAGATGTATATCTTTCAGGTTTCTTCTTCTATACAACTATACTGGCTGGACAAATACCATGTAAATGTGGCTCCTTGTAACTGAGGTTCTAGTGTATGCTCAGTCATTACATCAGGGCAGTACAGAAGTGGAAGGTTCTAGTGTTTGCTTCCGAAACTCAGTTCGTCACTCACCATCTCTGTGGGGGACACCTGTAGCTTGCTTCCTCTAGGCCAGGATAACACTCAATTGCAGCCAGCATCTTAAGGACACCTCCCAGACTGGGAGATCCTCACAGCTTCCATATCCCTAGGCCCTCAGGCCTGGGGCCTAGTTTAGTGAATCACTGTGGCATCCTTACAGGGTCGAAACCCTGGAGCGAAGAATACTGTGCCATGAAGTCCCTCAGATATTTAATAGCTCTTCCAGCATGCACAGCAGGCTTCCCAGACCTACTGATTGGCCAGGCATTAAACATCCTTCATGTTGAATCTCTAGCCTACCCTGCTGGTGGACACCAAACACAGCATGTGACTAAGAATAATCACTGCACACTTAGAGAACACTAGCCAGCACAACTAAGCTAACTAATCTACCCTAACAGATCACAAAAGTATAGAAGGATTATTTGGAAAAATTCTAGATCCCTACACCAATAGGAAAAAATTCCTGGTGTTAGGTTTTAATTTACACTTTTGTAAATTTGATTACTAGAAAATACGTGTGGTGTCTACAGTGCTTCTGACATTCAAGACTAACAACAACTACAAATGTCACTAAACAAAACATTTTCAGAATGCAGACATTTTATTGTGATTTTAATGTCAAGCCATGAAAAGCAATACTTATCCACTGAATCAAATTGTATTTATCAGTTTCCACAAGCTACAATAGCCAGCTCTTTTTTGTGATTTTTTCTTATGTCTCGTTTTTCCAATTCACTTATGAACTCATCTATATATTTCTGTTTTCTTTTCTTGTGAGAAACAGCTTCTTCACAGTTTTCTGTGCTAAAATAGGCCGATGGCTGTCCGCTCACCAGGACATCAGAAGCTGAAACAAAATAAAATTAAATGTGCAAATTGTTTTACCACTGTGTGCTATCGTCTCTAATACATATTACATTTCTGCTATGAACCCTGGCCATAATGCAAGCCCAGAGAGGGGGCAACCTCTCCCTTTTCCCTTGTAGACTGACTTGTTAGAAATGTTCATAAAATGCATAGCAATAAGAAATTAAAAACTCTGTTGATTCACAATGAACAAAACCATTGCCTACTGTCTTCTATACATTTTTATAAATTCTCAGCATAGCACTAACACATGCGCTGCTTCTGGTGTAGCTACAACAGCAATGCTAAAATGTCTTAAAGGTAACCTTTGGCTAGCATGCCAAAAATCAGTAATGATGAGCGAATATGTCTGGGTTTGATTTACGGGCCATTCGCTGAACACTTGAAAAAATCTGCAAGACCCAAACAAAGTGCCCAAACCCTATTGAAATCTATGGGAGCCGAGTCTTGTAAAATATTGTTTAGTGGGGAACGGGTCTTTTAATATTGCTTAAGGGGCATCATTAATAATGCACAATTCCTTTAAATAATATGCTTGGGGATGCCTTAAACTTGTACATGAATACATACATACATACATACATGAAATTAAATGACAGATCCATTTCGTGGCGCCTTATGTTTGTAAACAAAGTGGGTGACCACATACTGTAGTACTATGACTATAAATGGTCAATGGCATCAGACAGCTCTGTCAATTTCAGCCAGTCCAGCAGGTGCAGGTCGTCGTATTCAGTGGCGACTCTAGGAACAATATTTAGGGGGGGCACATAAGATACCACAGTCAGATCTGGGGGGGCACTAATAATTTTCATTGCATGTCGCAACCGATGGGCGCCGAGAGCTGATTTAATTGCGGATGGCATCTGCGTCCTAAAAATTGCTTTGGATTTGTCATTAGGTGCCCCAAAAAAAACCCATGTTTTTTCTTTCCTTTTTCTATCATATAAACTAAGCTGCTGTGCTGTCCCCCCGCCCCAGGCCAGACACCAAGCCTCAACTCCTGCTATCCCCCCAGCACGCCCCAGACACATCTCACTCCGCTGCTGCTGCTGTTCCCTTCCCCCCCAGCTCCAGATCATTGCAGGCTTACCAGTGCAGTGACTTGACTACACACAGCCACGAACAGCCATCAAGCTCTGCCACTCTGCTGTGAAAGCTCCGGGGCCGCCCGAGAAAAAAACCCTTCCTGCACGTGGGCAGGAAGGTACCAAAACATCAAATTGGACGGGGGTGTTGGGACGTACCAACTGTAGTCATTGACATTTGATCTACATGGTGCCTCGCTGTGAGGACACCCCTAGCAAGATATTCTCCCCAAATTGAGGGCATGTGGCCTGCTATGGTTTAGAAGGGGAGGGGGGCTAGTTGCCCCTCCATTTCTTAGCCAGCCATGCTACATGCTTGGATTAGGGTCTAGTATGGATTTTGGGAGGGACCCCAAAACAAGTTGTTAATAAAAAAAAACAGTGTAAATCCATTGTCAATCATATCATCCAGCGATCAACATTCATTGTCAATCTAGATAAACAACACAAAGATAAACACGACAACCTGCGCATTACTATCATGCTCCCGCTGGACTCTGCCCACAACTTACAGCTCCCACCCAACCAATAAATGTAAACACGCCAGCTGGGAATGTTGCCAGACATCATTAACTAAATATGTTCATGGCCATTTTGAGTTATTGACATCACCATAGATCTCCTGGCTGGCCTGTTTACTACGTAAAACAGGAGATTAGCAGGGCAGGAAGTCAATCATTACTGGTGGTAGTAACACTACCACTAAATCCCTTCCAGCTGCAAGAGCAGCCACCGGTGTGGGGAGATGAACAGACAGGACAACCTCTCATGTGACCCAAACTCAAAGCTCATCCCTAACAAGCAGTTAATGGTTTTGTTTTTAAATAAGCTCTCATTGATTTCTATAGCTACAAGCATTATGGAACATTTCTTATATAAACAAAATTACTACAAATGCATTAAAATTACTAGGTATTGCAAGAGTCTTTGTTGTGTTCCTTGAGCATGATTTACTCCATATTTGCTGCAGGTACAGAGGTCAGGGAGGGTTTAATATCAAGCTAAACTCAGGGCACTTAGGCTAGCATGTAGTGTAGCAGCAAGCTTACCTATATATTAATTCAATTATTTCACAGCAGAAAAAATAAATATTCTCTTATAAGCAATCTTCAAATCTTGTATTCAGAGTGGCTGTCGACTTCTATTTTCTGTTTGGTCAACTTCTATTTTCTGAAGATTGGTCAACTCAGCCTGCTACCTTTGTGTCACGTAAAAGGTGGCCACACACTGGTGGCCACATTCCTCTAAGTGGGGCTGAACAAGAGAAATCATTTGATCCTCCCATCCACACTAAATGGCATGGATGGAGGATTTCCCCATGGCACTGTTTGGCTAATCATTTTCAATATGGCAGGTGGTGCCAACAGGGCCACCAACAGCTAAACAGCATAGATAGAGGAATCCCCGCTGCCAACTGATTGGAAGCAGGCACTGTTTGGCTGATTTTACAACAGGCTCTTTTGACTTTTGTTGAAGCAGGAATCATGAAGCAGACAAAATTCAAGCTGTGGGGGGGCCGCCACCTCTCCACCTTTCCAGCAGTTCAAATTAGCAGGAGCAATCAGATCCCAGCTGAGTTTACTCCACCTCTCTCCCCCTCCCTCTGCCCCTCTACCACTGCAAACTCATTCTGCAGCCTACTAAAATTATGTACAGTAAGTCCCCTACTTACGAACGGGTTCTGTCCTGAGAGCGTTTTCATAAGTCCAATTTGTTCGTAACGCCAACAAATTTAGTCTAGGTGCCCAGCTACATCACTGCTGATTTTACGCTTGCTTGCGGACATTCTGGGCTTGAAATAAAGCTACTGTACTCTATATAGTACTTTAGAGTAAAGTACGCAAAAGCACACACACATGACAATGTATGCCAGAAACGTGAACTAGCTTACATGTTCGGCCATGCGAACGCATGTTCGTATCTTTGAAAGTTTGCAACTTGAATGTTTGTATGTATGGGACTTACTGTATAGTGTTAGGAAAACATACATGTGGTGCTTTATACATATGGTTGTAATTCACAATGGGGTTAATTTAGACAAGGAGTAGAATATAGCATCTTTTCACTAAGGTAATTACTAAGTAATCACAGAATCAGGGAGCCTACTCAGATGGTCTTGTGAGGATAACTTTTTTTTTAGCACCTTGAAAAAAACGAGCACCTAACCCTTGCATTGCGGGGGTAGCCCCACTGTAAGGGTTAATAGAATTTTTCTTCTTTAAATCTTTCTTCCCCATACTTTTCTTTTGGGCAGCTTCTTTCAGGGTCAATTCAAAAGATAAAGAGATCAGTTGTTTGATTTTTGGCACATCATAAAACATTACAACTTCTTGAACATCAAAAATAAGAAAGCCTCGCAGTTTTTTTTAATATACCACCTGTGCAAAAATAAAATTTACCAACTTACCAATGCATTCTGCTAGCCGAGAACCACCAATATACTGTGTAGTCCAAGTGAATGCAGTTTTAATTCCGCATTCCTCATATAGTCTGCTCCTCCTCAAAAAAGAGAAATCATAGCCCTAGTATAAATAATAAAGAAACGTTTTCATTAGCATAGTGTAAAAGGGAAATTATGTGTAGCTACTCATAGGTTTAAAGATTTTATTTGTTTTTTATTAGACTAGTGAATGATGATTTTAGATTGGCTGCTATAGCTTATCACTCGCTTAGCACATGACTAGAGAGTATGTATTTAATGGTCTCTTTGTGTTGCTCTAGATTTTGTTTCTGTACACTACAAATTGAAAAAATATCTGCAGTATTTTGAGGTGTATGTACCAAATATACACTGCTTGTCCAAAAAAAAGTCACCACCTGGATAGTTAAAAGGAGAACTATGAGGTGCATGATTTCCACTCATCCTCATAGTTAGAGCCAACCTGTGACAAAGAAGCTGTCAAAGGTCGGCTCTATCGATAGGGAAGTGAGCAGAAACATGCACTGATCTGCTCACTTCCCGTTTGTCTCCCTGCAGTGAGCAGTGACTGTCAGTCACCGCTCCCCGCAGGGATTCCCCCCTCCCGTCTGCGATCCTCCAGCGGTGACTGGAGGAACAAGTGGGGGAGGGGCGGGCACAGCTGGCTCTGTCTCTAGATAGGCAGAGTCCACTGTCGCTCATGCAGCTGGGTGGATCTTGACAGTATTTTCGGGATCCGTCCCAGCTGCGGCGCTCGCAATATACTGAGCTTTGGGTCACGGGAGCAGGTTAGTATATGTCCTCCCGACACCCTAAAGAGAACTATGGGGAAAAACACGTACTCCATAGTTCTCTTTTAAGCAAATAGATATTTCACATACAGATTGGCCACCACAGAGTCCAGATCCTAATCCAATTGAGAATCTTTGGGATGTGCTGGAGAAAATTGTACACAGTGGTCCAACTCTCCCATCATCACTACAAGATCTTAGTGACAAATTAATGCAACTGGAGGAAAATAAATGTTGTGACATGCATAAGATTATCGAAACAATGCCATGGTGCTTAAAGTTGTATGCCAAACCTTCCCTATGGCCAGGATTTCTCCACATCCCTCTTCTTTGACACCTGTAATTGGTGATCCGTACTTCCCTGCTGGTATGGACAAGGTTGTAAAGTACCCACTGCTCCAATCTTGCTTCTGTGATGGACTACAATCTCAATACAAATTAGTAAACTAAACGTGAGATTGTAGTCTATGAGCGGTGACTACTTTACAACACCCCATGCCATGGGGAACAAAAGTAGCCACCCTCCAGAAGGAAGGATCAATTTAGAGATGATTTGAGGATCTACAGCCGAGTGATACACAAATAAGGTACTGTTGTTATTTAAAAAAAAGGTACTTGAATGCATTTTTAAGATTTAACTCTTGAGTTTTTTAAGTGTCTTACTTTAATTAATGTCACCTCACTGCCTGCAAATATACTTATTGAGCTGTCTGAATATTTGTATAGTAAATACAATTTAGTCATTCTGTGTATCACTTTTACATAAACATTTACAATAACAACTCAAAACAATAACTAATTGGATCAAAAGTCAGCAAGCTATACTTCGACACACAAAAAAGGATTCAAAAATCTATATTATTTTGATAAAAAATAATAAAGTGTATTACCTGATTACACATTGGTTTGCAGTAAAAGATGTTGTCAAAATAAACACACACCAATCCTCCATTTTTTGGTACTAGAGGCACTGAGCAGTTGGTTAAATGAACAATCTGTTCATACCCTATAAACACCAAAGTCATACACTGAATTAAAGGTGATATAAAAACATTAGTATCACAAGCATTGTGAAATAAATAAAAGGGTTTTGTCATTATGTTACAAACTATGTTCTTTATGTTCTTACTGTTAAAAACAATGCATATCCCTGCCACTTTTAAGTAGCAGTCTCTGCTGTTTTTTTTGTGCTTCCAGATGACCTCTATGCGGGCCATCTCCAACAATGCCTTGCACCACACATCAATGCAGCTGGGCTCTAGGCCAAAGTAGAGGCTGGCGGGGAATTGGGTAGGACATTAAGGAGGAGGAGTGGAGCTGTTAGGGAGTAGTAAAAATAACAGTGTACTGGGTTCTGGGTGTGACGATACATTGAAGTCAATGGCACTGCAGCCATGCCCCCCTACCCGCAGTGTGATTGGCCGCACCAGAACACGTAGCACAACATTTTGCATGTGTTGCAGTCCAGTGTGGTCAGCAAAAATGCTGCAAGCACTTCCCCCCCGATTGCACTGAACTGGAACGCAGCATTTTTGTGCCTGCGTTCTGGTGTAGGCGGGGGGTGTGGCCATACCCCCTCCCACCTCAGAACACAGGGAGGAATTTACTATGCAATACAGTGTGTTGCAGCAGCTAACCTTACGCTAATTACAGTATAGGCACGTTTTCAAACACCATCTGCATTTTGTTCTGGCTTTTACAACAGTTTTTTTGTCTAATTGTAAAATAAGTATATATCAGTGTATAAAGATAACAGTGTATGTAAATTGTTATATAAAATAATATATTCTTGTTCTTCCAATTCCTCTTGTTATTGAGAACTGACATTTTACTAGCCTTTAACAAAAAAAAAGCCAAGGCTTTAAACAGTAGACATGTGCACTGCCAAAAAATTCGTTTCGTTTCGTTTTAAATTCGGATTTGTGTTATTTCGTTTTTCGGGATTCGGGTGTGAAAGTCAATTCGGATTCGGAATTCGGATTCGGACGAAATTCGGTAGCGTTCGCACGAACGTTCGTTTCGTGTTCTTATCTTATTCGTTTCTTATTCGTTTCTTATTCGTTTCGTTCGTTTGCAGCAAAAGTGACATTTGAGGGGGAAAAAATATTTTTCTCCTTCTCTAATGTCACTTTGCTCCAACGAACGAAACGAATAAGAAACGAATACGAACAGAAAACGAAACGAACGTTCGTGCGAACGCTACCGAATTTCGGAAATGGAAATTCGGATTCGTTTGCATTCGTTATGTCTGTAATTCGGAATTCGGATACATCCGAATGTCCGAATTTACGAAAATTCGTCCGAATTTCGATTCGGAACGAAACGAATCGCACATGTCTATTAAACAGCATCATATGTCAGTTATACGCACACATGGTTGGATGAGTACGGTTTTCATTTGTCGCACTTTCTGCAAAGAAAAGGAAATACAATTAGAAAAAAGTGGACATTTCTGGATTATATGAGTGCAGTAGAACCCATACAACAGAGGCTAACAGGATGATCAGATCATATTTAATTGTTCACAGTAACTAGGATCCAGGTCATATTCTGCACATTAAGAACATAGTGCTACATACATACACTACATAGTATTACATAGGGTTAGGTTTATGGGTTAATATGACCCAATAATATCATTAGAAATCATTTAAGTAACCCATAGATGTCAAAGAGTAATTGATCTTCCAGAAAAGGTTCGTCCTCTTAAAGATTTTTCCTCTGAAAAGATCTTAACATAAATGTGTAGGTCACACAACAGGTTGCAGGTTATTTTGACTCCCAGTGATTTTCCTCTAAACGTATGGCCTGATAAAATGTATAATGTTAAAAAGCTGAGTACATGTACAATGGTCATCGGGCTATGCTGTGTGGAGCAGCAGCCCAAAATATTTGGTTGGCATGTGCCTACTGATTGGAATTGCTTTCCTCTGAGTCTTTGGGACTTCCCCCAATGGCATAAAGGCAACAACACAGGCATTGAAGCTCTTCTGCCTCTAGTAAATCTTTTTCACAACTTTCACAACTTCCAAATCATTTCACTGGTTTACCTGCAGTTTGATTGGTGGGTTGTCCCGTGACATTTTCTAAAATGCAAATAAACTACTATTAACGTAATAAAACATTTTAGAGATGGATGTGCATTAACACAAAGCACAACTATCCTTTGTTTTTTTTATGTTGGTGCTCATTTGTAATGCAGCATACATTCGTTTCACTGGTTTACCTGCAGTTTGAATGGTGAGTTGTCCTATGATATTTTCTAAAATGAAAATAAATTATTATTAACTCAATAAAAACATTATTATGCACCAAATCACTGCATCTTTAGTGCACCAAAGTACCACATCCTTATTCCTTTTGTCATTAGCTGACATTATTGGGCTAATTTTTCAGAAGTAAAGAGACACTTGTGCCTTGCATAGCACATTTTTTTCCAGTTTGTTTTACCAAATCTATTCCTTTGCCATTCTTTATTTCCATTTGTGCATGTAACACTTGGGGATGATTTATAAAACTTTGCATAGGAATTGTCTATGCTCCTCGACTCCGACTAGTGGCAGGAATGCCATTAGTCTAGAGAATGGGAGAATGTTTTATAAATCATCACTAGGGTTGCACAGATACCAAGTACAGTATTTGGTACAAGTACAAGTACCAATACTTTTGAGCTCCAAGACTAGACTAGAGAAAATTTCAAAGGTTAGGAGGCAGCCGTCATTTGCAAGGAGCCCACAGAACTCCTGGGATTTGTGCATCTCTGTTTTAATGTACGATTTTGTTTTTATAAATATAAATAAAGGGATGCACAGATACCAGTTTTGCGAGTACGAGTACTGGTACTTGCCGAGTACTTACAAGTACGAGTACTGATACATTGTTGTTTATTGTCATGTGACAGTTTTTCTAAAACAATACAGACTAATGATTTCAGGACCGTGGTGGAGCACCAGAGCCGGGTCCCAGCTGCAACCGCTGCAACCCTGGTAGTTCTCATGAAAATGCCAAGTATCTGCACTGGTACTCGAAAAGTATCTGTGCATCCCTAGTCATCACATTTGTGTTTGGCTATGAGTTTGCAAATACAATCTACACTCTGTTATGACATCCACTCTACAACATTGTTTTTCTATGTCCAATTGTAAAGTAAGAGCATCAATCTATATGATTTGTAATGTAGTGTAGGCAATAAGAACTATGCTTCTAACCACTTAACTCTGAAGCACTTCTAACAGAAGAGTTGCAGCTCATGAGTAATTTGGTAAATTCTACAAAATAAAATTAGCCATTTCTGCCAATTTTGCTCTTGCTTAGAAATTGCTGTTTAACTAACCCTTTATATAATGCTATAACCTTTTAGCAGAAACCCACCAGCCAATTTAATCATACACACCATGAGTAGGATGAGTATGTTGATCTCCCCCGACATTTTCTACAAAGTAAATGAAATACAGTTTAGTGAGAAACTATAGCAGTACCTTTAAATTCATTATATGGGTTTCCTATGAATCAACCACCAGAGGTGAATAGTTTTCAAGATTATCAGTGACAAATGTTATTACAGCAGTTACAGGGATCTGTCCCAAATCAGATTTAGAAAGTGAAGGACATAATTTTACACTTATGCTTAGTGTCATATGCTAGCAAAATAACAAGACAAGAAACTCATATATGCCAGAGGGTGGTTGGATTAATAAGAAAGGTTAGACTTCTATAAGATTTCTCTTATCTTTCCATAACTATGTCTGCTTAGGCCACACAAAAGAGCATGCTTTATATGAAAACTAACCAATCAGTAGATTGTGACTCCTAGTGCAATGTTGTTGCATTAGCCATACCAGAGTAAGAATTTATAGAAAGCTTGATACAAAAAAAAAATGTAAAGAGACTTAAAGTATACATATAAAAACACTTCCCTTGAATGTCACCTATTTGCTCCTCTTTGGTCTTCATGTATCAAATGACCATTAGCTAATTCTAAGGGGTACCTTCACCCAATCAGGTAAACATTTGGCAGTGGACAAGAAACGCTTCATACCAGGGTCAGGATAAGAGGTCTCTTTGCCGGCGGTGCCTACAAAGAAATTAATAATTTAAATCAATCAACAAAAACACATTTAACTGGATCTTTTATTAAACTGTACTCTATTAATTATAACTGTGAGGGGTAACTTTAGAAACAAATATACATTTTTATTCCCTTTTGCAAGACTTTAAATTTGTACAAGATTGATTAAAGTGTACGCATCAACAAACCTTTTTTTCACTATGGCCACTAGATGGAAATGAGGAGCATAGAAAATAAGTATGTAAGCTTGTCTGTAAAAACAACTTCTAGAGGCACTCAGGACATAGTGAGTATATTTATATATCCATCTACTATTGAACAGCTACAAAGTGAGAAAGATCCTACATTGAGAGATGCTCTAACTACAATGCAAAACTGCGGCTGTTCCACCATATTGTTGAAAACAGATTGTTACAATATGGGAAGAAATTAAAAAGGTTTGGGAACAGATTTCTGCTTTGGATGGTAGAACAAGTAATATGGATGTAGTTCACCCTTTAAAAATATAATATGCACTTAAGCAAAAGTATACATTCATAATTTGGATGGTAAAGAAAATAAGCTAGATTAAAACAAAAATCAGAATAACTGGAGATCCAGAAAGAATTGAAGGGGGCAATAAAATGGGGTATATGAAGACAAGGCTTGTCTCTGTATTTGGTAAAGATGTATTTTCCTCTTTGTATGCAGTGGAGATATCATCGCATTTTTACGTCCCTCCTGCCATCTGGGGGAATGCCAAGATCAATCTTAGCCTAAAATAAATATCAAAACAAAGATACCATTTTGCACATTGCCTTGCGGATATTAAAATCAATGGCCAAATATATCATTGTATCCATATTTTTTTTTTTACGGAGATGCAAATAAAAAGTGCTACGTTGCAGGAAATAAAAAAAAACAACAACCATTTGCAGGAATTGAAAGTGCTATATGCCAGCCAAGAATTATTGCTAGGAGGGAAGCCCATTTTTTTTGATACACCAGCTCATACAGGCTCATGGATTGAGAAGGATGAAAAACATTTATGATATCATTGACTGGAGTAATACTGCACCTGGAGCTTTTAAAATACACTGTGTTTTTGCCTCTTTTTTCTGTTTTTGCAGGACTTGGGAGAACAGGACATATAGAGTAGAGATATGTTGTCTCTCATTAAATTGCTAAAATTAGTATTTCATTTTTCCCTCTCCTTCTGGATCTCTTAATACGGAGCTTGAGCATCTATTATATAATGGAAAATTGTATATTTACCTATCAGTAATTTTCCTTTCCTGATGCCAATACATGGCAGCATACAATGGGTATGGCTCAGCTCCCAGCCCAATCACAGGACAAGTTATACTATAAATTAAAGCCCGCCTCCCAAGGCCACCACTCTCGTAACAAGTACTCAATGCGAAAGCCATAGGAGGGTCCTGTATGCTGCCAGGAAAGGAAAATTACAGATAGGTAAGTATACAATTTTCAATTTTTCTGGCACCTACATGGCAGCATACAATGGGATATAGCGATCACACAACCAGGGAGGGTAATTCTGAGATATTTATTTATTTGTACCACTGGTAAACACATTCAGAACCAAACTTCACCATGGACAAGAAAGAAAAGGTAACCTACATGTTCTTTCCCAGCATAGCAGCCACATTTCGGGCATGAGCTGAAACAAAAACGTGATTCTGGAATACTGGCAACATTGATGTCCTATTTAGATGGAAGGATCTTCCAACCTTCAGAGGACGCTGGGAGAGAGATTTAGGACTACCTTGCCGGTGAAAGGGTAGCAATAAGGTGGTTTGCGGCCTAATCTTTACTATCCAACACCCTCCTCCCCGAGGAGATTGCTGTAAGAACAACTATTCTACATGTTACTATCCACACTGAGTAAGTGTGAGCTAGATGAAGTTGAGGAAGGAAGAACATATACAGCATGATCTGTAAATTCGAAGGGAAAGAAGAGACTCTTCTGAAGAGTGAATCCTTGCGCAAGTCCTTAAGAGCTGGCTTAACCCTTTCGCTTCCAAGGACGTATGGCATACGGACCTACAAAAGTGCTTCCAGCTGGCCAGGTCAGTATGCCATACGGACCTGGCATTTACAGTTCTACTATAAGCTGATGGTCGCTTTAGCGACCATCAGCTTATAGTAGAACTGTTCAGCAGACTGTCCCCTTTAAATTAATAGCTGTCATCAGCGGCTCACAAGCCGCTGATGACCGCTATTTTCAAAAATACCGGGCGCCCCCCGCCGGCACCGCCGCTGCCGGCCGCCGGCATCTGGAGTCTCTCATCCCTCCCTGGAGCCATCCCAGGGAGGGATGAGGGACTCCATGGATCCCCACTGCTTGTAGGGTCTGTGGCAGCGGGGATCCATTAAAAAATCACCGTCGGGGGGGTCCCGGGAACGAGCGGCGGCTGGCCGCAATTCAGGATGGCTGAGCGTCTTCTGTTCTGAGCCGCTGTCATCCTGTCAGTTTTTGGATGACAGCGGCTCTGTGTAGCGTGGCCGAGCGGGGGATCGTTAAATATCAATGATATTTAACGATCCCTCTGTGCAGAGCAAACACCGGAGTGATCGTCTGATCACTCCGGTGTTTGTAAATAACTGGGGACACATAGTACTATGTGTCCCCAGTTATGAATGAACAGGCTGCGATCTACATCACAGCCTGTTCATTCAAGAATTTATGAATGGGGACTAGCACTCACTACAGAGGCTCCTCCCCATTCAGAAACTAATGATAGTAAAATATTTTTACTATCATTAGTTTGTGAATGAATGAGAAGCCTCTGTACTGAGGCTTCTCATTCATTGAGTGCTGGGGCTGCAGAAAAAGAAATTGAGGACTTATGTCCTCAATTTCTTTTTCTATTTCAAAAGGGAAATGTCAGGGGTCTATTTAGACCCCAGATATTTCGCCGCAGCCCCCCCAACAGTAAAAAAAGAAAATTATTAAAAAATAAATAGAAAATGATAAAAAAAATAAATAAAAAAATGTGTACAAAAAAAATAATAAAAAA